CTATCATATTTCATCCATTTTCCATTTGGCTATTGTTTTTAGATGAAAAGGTCACACTTATGATTCTGTTGTATATCAGACAACAACACCCCTAGGTGACTAATTCCCTCCTTGTATTTCTAAAGATCTAAAAATATGAGTAGAATGACCCCTTGACTCTGAGTCAAACCAAGAGAGGTTACGCAACCTATCTTGATGATGTTTATGCATAAGTCATAACTTCTCGCATTATTTTGTTGAATTCATATTAGAATGTCTGGCAAACCTTTTGGGCCACAGCACTGTGAACATGTGTTGTATATCTTGCTTTTCTCAGTTCTCTGCTCTTGCTTTTCTTGTTTATGGTGCAGTATAAAGCAAACATCACTATTATGGAACAAATATGCCACAGACCCATTGAAACACAGGATAATGTCCTTGTATTAGTTTTGGAGGTATTCTGGGACATTTGGTGCTCAATAAACCCTGAAAGTCAGACTGAAAACCAGGAAGAGTGATGGCCCTATTATCCCAAATCTCTCTCCCTCTCTAGTCACGATTCACATGAACTTTTCAGTAGTGCCACAGGAAAGTACTTTGTGGAAATAGTCTGTTCCTAAGATGAAGGAATGAAAACGGTTACAGGTGTATAAAAAGACATAATGAATATGGAAGGGAAGCAAAAGGAAGTTGGAAAGAGTCTAAAGAACAGGATGAAATTAAAACACTTCTGCTCAGTTTGCAGTTATTTGGCAACACGGGAATCCATTTCTATGTCATATATTATTAAAGAAGATACTATTAGAGAGACATACAGGGCCATAATATCAGCTAGAAAGTTGCTGATAGCATAATACATGCAAAAATGGAAAAACCTATTAACTCAGCCTAGTATTTCTTTATATCTTTGCCAGGGCCCTGTCCAAGGCAGCTCTCTAGGTCATTTTTCACATTAAGGCTTTCTAGAGGCTCTGGGTTAGTGCTACCAGTTGAACTGAGTTAAATATTTCATTTTAAATAAACTGTTATTTTTAAAACTTCTGCCCACATTCTGCTATTTACTTCCCTAAAAATAAATCACTTTTCCCAATGTTACCAACATGTCACTTCTTCCAGAGCAGCAGCCAGCCTAATGCCAGTACCAATAGCTCTGCACCCTGGAGCAGGAGCTGACCAGGACATTTCCCTTAGCTGGAGGATATAATGCTGTTCATCTGTAAGATTTCCTTATTTTTAGCTTTCTTCCATAATTTATGTAAGCTATACTCTATTAAACACCTGCATACAAGACAGCCAGATGGAGAAATAAATGCTTGTTTTAAAAAAAAAAAAAAAGACACATGAAAAGTAAAATTTTTAAGGTCGAAGCAGGTATTTCTCTCACAAAAGTACTAATGAACAACTAACTACCACAAAAAAATCAACATCCATGAAGTAACTCACAAAAAAGATATATTTGTTAAAGACAGTAATTCAGAAGCATAGAGAAGACTCCAAGGCATATAATAAAAGGTAAGGAAAGATTTCCTAGCAGGTCAGTAAGTGAACCTGAGTCACTTGGTGCTATGAGAAGCCAAATTTGCAGGGAAAGAGAAGCACTAAAAAGCTGACTTCAGGTGCCATGGACAACCTTCATTCTCACATATACCAGTTTTGTCATACTCAACTTCCCAAGTTACTTCGGAAAGGGTTAGAAAAGCATGATAATGGGAGTTGTTAGAACAAGCCAAGAATTTCACTAGGAGAAAACTTCAAACTGGGAGGTGTAAGTGAAGTAAATGTAAAATATCCATGAGAAAACGTAGATTATGCTGAAATTTCAAGAGGAAGGAACAGAGTGGATTATTGGATCATTTGCATCTTAATGAGAGAGAAAATGAAGATTTACAAGGGGAGGGAAGAGAAAAAAAGAACATGTACCTGTGGCATTCCAGAATTTGAACACTAGGCTTCAGTATTTCCTTTTGTGGAAAAGGAATAAATAAAACTCAGCTACAAATATTGAAATCTCCGAACTCTGATAGCATGTCGAGAGCCAAAATTTTCAAAAGTCTATCTTGGACAGTACAGGAAATGTTGACCTTCATTCTAAGTAAAAAATAGGAATCAAAAATTTATGTATTTAATCAATTTTCCAGATATTTTACCTTGAACACATTTGTTTACAGAAGCACTTTAAAAAACACACTTGCTTTAGTGTCTGACCGCAGGTCACAACTTGTGACTACAACACAAAGTCCATCTTGCTCTTGATGATGAATGTGATGCACAAATACGTGATGATGAATGTTGATGCCTTTCTAACTTTATTTCTATTTTTCTGGGTAGACCAAGTTGTCTTATCATTGCGCTAATTTACTTATCAGAGATTTTCTTTTAATGACAAGTAGTAACATAACAAAGCTGCCCTGCGAAGGAGGATACAGATAAAGGTTATGGCACCTTTACTGGGCATACATGAAGAGTAAGCAACTATGAACTTCTCAGCCCTTTTATACAAAGAAGAGTAAAACACATTATTAGCTCAGTTAATCAGATGCAACTCAGGGACAACTAAGGGAATTCAATAATTAACAAACAAGCTTCATTCTGTCAGTCCTTTACTTAGATTTCAAGTTATTCCCAACAGTATCAGCTTAAGGATAATTAACGTATTTATTTTCTGAAATACTTCATGTATTTATTTACCTCTAGTCACTTTTTATTAAAAAAAGAAGTCTCACAAATCTGCTGATTAAGTATCTAGAAATAAACAGTTAAACCTCAATTTTGAAGATGTTGCTACTGAAATACCTGGGCTATGTGACATACTCATAAGTGATTAGAAAAAACAAATCAGTGATCAAATCCCCAAGTGCTACAGAATTATAGGGATATTAAATGCTAGGACAAATCCCAGGGGGTAAGGTGCCCAGGATGATGAAAGGACAGAGGAAATTTGATTTGCAAAACATACAAGATAACCCGAGAGAAAAGGAAATATGCAAAGCACACACACACAGAAGTACACACACACACAAAAGCATGTGATAGTCCATTCTAAATCAGCAACCGACATTCACAAAAGCGATTGTGAAATCTCTTGCATGACTTGTTAAGACATAAGCTCAGTGCTGAGAAGCAAACAAAAGCAAATCCAGAATAATAGGAATTATTTGGAAGGTCCCAAAAGGGAAAAAAAGTTGTTATATCATGATATAATACCTAGTGCATCCACATTTTGAATTCTGCATGAGCACCATTCCTCCCATTTCAAAAGAGCAACAAGACTAGTTATACAAGAATAGCTCCGATATAAAAAGAGGTTAAATAGGACAGCTCAGTTATTAAAAAATAGTAAAGAAAGAAAGGAAGAGTATGGGCTAAGTCACTAGCAACTGACTTGGAGAGGTGAACGGAGAGGTGTTAAGGCAACACTGCTTCCTAAAGTAGAAGAATGAGGGAGTGTAAGATAGTAAAAGCTTAAAGTATAAAACAAGCACTTCTTACAGAAGTCAAACTGTAACTCTGCAGTGGACAGCTGCAGAGATCAAAAGCGCAGATGGGTTGGAGGAGAGCTAGGAAATGCATGCAGAATAAATTAACAAAGCTCTGAAACACAGGTATGACTGTAGGAACATGAAACCCCCAAGTCATAGAGAAGGCAAAGGAGCATTTGCGGGGTTGTAGTGGTATAGAACTGAATCTGTATCACCAGGAAAACAGGTAAAAGAAGGCAATACCAAACTGAATCACTAAGATTTAATTGGTCCCATCAATATAATTTACCAGGAAAGTGGAGGAACATATTATATGCTCCTCCAAGGGAGGGGAAAATACCTGACAACTAACTCAAATGGGGTGGGACAAGAATATAGTATGGGAGTCTTCATATTTCTTCTCCCATAGCCTACAGTTTCTAGAGAAAGCTCTCACTTTCAGATGTTTCCCCCCCAACAGGTTAAAAGTACCCTGCTGTAGAGGATCTTGTCTTGAACCATGTATGCAATTGTGCTTGCAATTATACAGCAAAATCCTCCCTGAGTGAAAGAAGGCACAGGAAATCCCCCTTTATCTCTAGAGCATTAGTGAAGCAGTTGTAAGGATTAAAGTTAAAATTGACCTTGAAGGACCCGACCCGCAAGGCAACAGTGAGCCAAAAGCAGGCTTCTACAAAAGTGTCCCTCAAATCAGGCAGCTTTCAAAAATATAAAGGGAAGCCATAAGGAGACAAGGAAGCAGCAAAAGGCATTCATTTCTTTATATACTGTCAACATCGGGAGCTAACAGAAGTAAAATGAACAAAATGAAAAAAAAAAAAAAAAAAAACAAACCTAGCTCTGATATTCCCATTTACATCTCCTCACTCTGTACTGCGGCTAAGGAAACCATACTCAAGGAAAGTTTGCATACTCAAACAATGTTTGCAGTAATTAACAGCCCAAATCACATGAGAAGAGATCTTAATTGTATCCTTAAACTTTTCTAAATCTCAGAAGAGTTTCTTAGAACTACTCTTGTGAATAAAACCAAAACCTTCTCTGGAACTTATAACACAAGCTTTTCATTTGCCAAACCAAAGTAGACATCCAATAGCTCAACACAGGATTTTACAGCTACCCTTCAAGCCTGTCATGAGCAGATGCTTTAACTGAAGCACCTGACACAGAAACACATTTGTCAAGGCCACCATCTGCAGAAGTCAGTAGGACTTGCTCACTAAAAGTATTCTTCTTACCACTCAGAATACACAAACATCCACACCAGAATACTGCACAGTTCTGCCTTTCTCTAGTGATCAAGATGCACATTGCTCAGAAGAAGTTTTGTAACATTCAGCTTCTTCCAGAAACCCCAGCAGTGCTTTGTGCTGGGTTTTTTATGCACCGTAACAGCTAACAGGCATTCTGGAAACACAGGAAGAGAGCTGAGGGATACCAAGGAAAGAATAAAGTGAAAACAGACTGAATGTCAAGAATAAGAAATCATCTTACCAATCTATACGATCTTACCAATCTACAGTAATTCACACAAAGCCTTGATTATTTACTTCACAACTTTATTTCAGCGGAAGTTATTGGTATAAAATTTAGTATCTAATTATACAGGTACAGGGGACTTTTGGGAAAGCTTATTTTGTCCTTTTTAGTGTCTTTTGCCATTTAGTCCTCAGGCATGTTTCAAGAGGACAAATATTATATGTGTACCTTTAATTTCTGTACAAAAGCACTTCAAGTCTTTGTTTTGTTCTTCTGAGTACAATACCCAAAACATGCATATTGTAGACAATATAATAGTCAAGGAAATATTGTCCCTCTTTAAACTAAGGCAGTTAAACCCCCAAGAATATCAATTCAGTAATTTAGAAGAGTAGAAAGGCTTCCTCGGTGCTCATTTACTCTTTGAGCAAATAAGTAAGACACAGCCTCTTGGAATTACCAGATTTGACTGCTGTCATTATTGAAAAGACAGATTGTCAAGGACAGCATTTAAATATGTACATTTCATAATGCCACTAACCCATCAACTTTTGAATAAGAATGTCAGCATTAAGAACTGTGTAAACCTACATGCAAAAACTGCAATAGAATTTTTTTTAATAGAACCAAATTGGCAAGTTTTTGGAAAGGATATTTCAACGTTAAAAAGAAAAAGGTCTATTAAAATAAGCACTTCAAGTAACTTAAATATCTTCAGCAAACATGTCCAGCAAAAACTTCCTCTAAAAGAAATTGTTCTTAGAACAAAAAGCTAACAAATGGCTATTTAGCCACTAATTTTTCAACACAGTGGTGGGTCTGTGTGAAACAATTTGTAATCTAAATAAAGCAAGTTCATTACAATGTTAAAAAACATACATTAAGCAGGACTGATTAACTATTGCATTTCTGTATTTACAAAAGTGCTTAGCATAACAAAATTGCCTAAAAAAATATAAACTTTACCAATATCATTTGGTTCTATGTGTATTCCTAGACCTGCATTTGGAAAAAATAGTATTTACATTGCTAGATTTAGACAAGTTTCCTATAATTTTTAAAGAAATTTAACAAAACTCCCCCCACAAATGGACCCCTTCGTAGGTCAATTTATCTGGCTCATTAGAAATAGAGCAGAAGCAAATTCTTGAGAACTGAGCAGTACAAATGATTCTAGCCATTGTCTGTGGCATTAGACCCCAAAACAGGCTGTCGACAAATTGGGCAAGTGGAATTTTCAGAAAGCCAGCGATCAATACAATGAATATGAAACTCATGCATACAAGGTAACTGCCTTAGTTTATTCCCTGTTGCATATTCATTAATGCAAACACTACATGTTTTACTTCTTTCGCTTTCAGCGTGAATATCCCCATAGTTCCGAGTAGAAAGATTGTCAATCTGCTCTTTGGTTAAACCTCTTAAACGATCATCATCGTCATCTTCATTCAGCAAGAAGAAGTGGGCAAGTCGAAGTATGGGCAGTGTTCCATTTTCCACTAAGTTGTTCACATCTTGAGACTGCCTGTTATCTTGGTTCTCGTTACGGCGCCCATAGCGTTGACGATCATCCCTCCGTCCATTTCTTTCCCTGCTGCCTTCTGCTGTGCGTCCATTTCTAGATGAAACCTCACTTGGATCACCGCTGCTTGCTGAACTTGAGTTGTTCTGTGCATCTGATAAGGGATGGCCACCTCTCTGCACTTCTGAGTTGGATTCAGTTTCCATTAAAGAGCTCAGTTCCCCAAAGCCTGTCATAATTTGTCTGAGGATCGATCGAAGAGCCACTGATGAAGGTTCACCAAGCCCAGCTTCTGAAATACGACGGAGAGGTACCCGTATAGTGCTGACGTAGGTTCGAATACCCGCACGTTCTGATCGCGATATCGTATGCCGAAATCCCCCACTGTCACTCTCAAAGGTGACCGTGTTTTCTGACATTCCTACTCTAGAACGAGTTCTACTGGCAATACTGTCCCGGTCTCTGTTTTCTCCAGGACGAATTCTTCTCACCTGGAGATCTAGTGTAATTGTTGGATGCCTTCTGACGGCAGCTACTGGCCTACTAGATTCGTCCTCTTCTGAAGTTATTCCCAAGGATGGAGCTACAGTGGGAAGTTGAGGAGCCTGAGTGTTGCCTCTTGCTTGCTCTTCAGCAGGCTGTGGAGAAGCCTGAGCTATTTGTCTTCTACTTCTGTTGACATGCTGTGCGTTTCTATTCTGCCTCTGACCACGTTCCTCGAAGCGAACAGCATCACCTTGCCTTCGCAGCGGAGAGCGGCTTCGACTGCTTAAGGTAGACCTCAGCCGCAGAATTTCTAGTCTTTGGTTTGTATTTATCTGAGCATTCGTTCTTGCTCTACCTCTTCTGACTCTTGTAGAATTAAGTCTTCCCAGCATTTCTCTTCTGTCACCAGCAGCTGCAGAATTATTACGTGTACTATTATTTGTTTGGGAAAGGCCTGTCAACTCCCTTGTTCTACTCCTGAGCCTCCCCGAGACTGCATGAGAGGCTACTTCAGACCTCAGTGCCATGGCATGTCCTAAAAACCTGGTCCTTGCAGCTTCATTGCTTGCCTCCCTTGCAGCCATGCTCCTTGTTCGTGGGGTTGCTGAACTGGCAACTAGTTGACGTCTTCTTTCCAAATACAGTCTGGTAGCATCTATATCGACATACTCCTCACCAGCAGTTTCTAAACTGTTATGATCGTGATTTATATTGATTTCAAGACTAAAACGAAACTCCCCACTGTTTGGATTTGTTCGACTCACGGCTCTCCAGGTTTGGTTCCCACTCTGTCCGCTGCGAGTGGCATTTCCTGTGCGACGAAATGTGTTAAGCCATTCGAACAAAGAGTCGCCATTTGAGTTTTCTCCAAGAACATCAGAATCTGAGAGAAATAAAGAATTGCAAAAATTCATATGACTGCATGCTTAGCATACTATGATGCATTCCAAATCCTCTAGGCTTGCTGGATGCTGACTACAGAAATCACACAGTAGCAGGACGTTCTCTTGCTATGCTAAGATATGAAAATATGCTGTATGTAAAAACACCAGCAAGACTCATCAGTTCAACCTAGAATTTTTGTCTCACCAGCAGACACACACAAATGAATATGCCCAGATGGCCTCTTTTGAGCAAGTGTTCATATTCAGGCGGTCTAAAGTTAGTTGTATTTGTCAGATATGTTTCTTCCTTAAATTATCAATTTGGGGCTATCCTAGTCAGCTAATTTTGATTCAGCAAGAAAAAGCATAACAGATTTTCTCTCCTTTTGGAAAACATTTTAGAAGTTGTTTTCCCTAAGCAGTGGAATAAATGATCACAGAATCACAAAGGTTGGAAGGGACCTCTGGAGATCACCTAGTCCAACTGTCCTGCCAAGGCACGGTCACTAGTATGGCAAACATGGGCACTGAAGAAATGAGACTGCACACATACCATGATTCAGTTTTCGAGATTCTCCACAGAATTCTCTCTGCATTCCCCTTTTATTAGGGTTCTTTCTATAAACAGCACCTGGTGTTGTCATTCAGCTAACTATAATTCCCAGGACTTTTTGCAAACTCAGTGTTTTGATTCACACACTCCTGCTCAGCTCCAAGTCTGAAACACTCCATTTTGATTTTAACTAACTGAATGCAAGTGCTGCTGGCTTAACTTGTTCCCACAACTTCGAGCAGGTGACACAGGAATGCATCCAGGTGGGATGCATGGTTTCAAAAGATATTGTCCTTTTGTGCAAATATACTGTTTCCCTACTACAATATCCACAAGTTCCCTTTTCAAATCTCCTCCAGCTACAAGCCCAACTGGTTTGTGCTAACTATGTGATCCCTTGAAGGGATCAAATTACATTCCCCCTACTCCATCATCTCCCTAAGTCCATGAAACCTGCAAGAACTTTGGTATCTTTATTTCTGAGCTGCCAGTTCCCCTCCTAAATCTGATTAGAACTGGACAAATGATTAAGCCAATATCACTGGGGAACTGAAGACAGATAATACACATAATATGAACAAGCCTCACTTGACTGAAAGAAATGGAAATAAAACAACAAAAATGGCAAAACGGTGGAGAGGTTAACTGTTTTCCAATTCACTTATTTTGCAACTGCTCTAATACATGGTAAAAACCTCTAAGAATTGAAGAGTTAATTTTTTTGTGCTATAACATTTATTAAAAAAGGAAAATAGGAGCAAATAATTTGTGGTCAACATAAATCAGTTTTCATCAAGTACTTCAAGTTTGTTTTTACATTATTAGGAAATCTCAAGATCTTACTTTTTAACAATCCAGAGAGGTTCAATGGAATAAAACAAGACTTGAGATAAGTCTTTCTTAAGTGTCTGTACAGAACACCATTTATGCATCAAGTACCATGTGTATCTATATATATGAATGAAGAATGTTTACCTCCAACAGCTCTACCTTCACCTTCTCTGTTATCCAGATCAGACTGTGATGCCAGACGCTCCTTAGCCCCCTCCAAGCGTTGCTGCAACTCTTCTGCTGTTATTTCCCCTGAAATAATTTACATTTTTATAATGCTGTTAGATAAGACTCAATAACTGCCTCAACATAGTCACGGAGAGGTAACATTTTCTACCTTGAAGGAAATTTTTCAGAAGGCAGATAAAACTGTTGAAACCAGAAAGAAAAGAGCACTAATGACAGATTATAATGCAGGTAACACAGACAGCAAAGGAAGTAGGTCCTGGGTGGAAGATGAGTATGTCAAGAATACGCTGGCTTCCAGTAACAACTTAGAGGCCCCCAAAATTGCCACATATCAACAGATATACTTTAATGTACCAAAAGTTAATTATTTGGGTTTGGATATTACCTGTATACAAAGATGCTGCATTTGAAAGTGTTATACTTTTGTTCCATATGGAGGTTTTTTCCTTTACACAAAGCACAGTAGTCAGGCTACTTGAGTCATGCTACCACATGTGGTGTCTGACAGCAGGAGCGTTACTTCGCGATACATGTTTTCTACTGAAGGTAGAAGGTACCACATCTTACCAGGAGTGCCAAGCAGGTTGCTGTCTCTCATCAACCTATAATCTTCTTCATTGAGTTCATTAATGAACTGGTAATAAGCCTCCTCCCTACCGAGGCGCTCCAGCTGTCGTTGTCTCTCATCTTCACCATGACTGTGCTCTCGTGAAGATGCCTGCTCATTGCCATTTCCCGCTCGGTGCCGAGAGCGATCCATAACAGTAATGCTGAGCTGTCCTGAACAAAACCAGAACGTTAGACTGCACAGTAATTACAGTAAGAATTTACCTAATTTACAGTAAAGAGTTTCCTCTTTTCATTGCCAATGAAATTAGTTTATTAATAGCTAAAGATGATTAAGGTGAACCAAGCTCCTTGTCATTTGTCAAGTCAACACAGAAGTTAATTATGCAAATGTTTTACTTGTAGTTTGCTCAAAAATAGCTTCAAGCCCCCTTTCCTCACTGAAAGGACCTATTGGTTGGTATGGCAACTTCAAAATAAAAAAATAATGGTAAGGATATTTTAGAAAGTTAAAGAAATAACGTAAGATCTACGTCCCTTCTTCCAAGTAAAATACAACAGCAGCAGTGTGCAGCATTTTAAAAGATGAAATATAATTGATAATACAGTTCTCTAATTACCAGACTGCAATTACCCATTGTAGACTTCTGACAAGTAAGGTCAGACTACATATTTCCGTAGGGATTTCCAACGGGTATTTCCATTGGTAACACCCCTCACATAGCACAAAGCCTAAGGATTTATTTGTGGTGGAATGACTCTTTTGACATCCTTACATCATTTGTATATTTTTCTTGCACTCTCTAATCCAAGGATTAGCTACCAAAGGAATACCCATCTCCAGAAAACAGGTGTAAAAGGAAAAGGGCTGTACTTTAAGAAACAGTTCCTCATCATTTTCCAAACACTGAGCCAGTGGGACCACACTGTTAGACCGCATGAATAATCTTCCATTTCGGTGCCATTACCACCTCTCTCTGATGTTGCCCAGTGTTGAGTCCTATCAGCATCTCAGACCCCTCCCCAGCTTTTCTATTTTCTGAAGAAAACCTGCTCTTCAAGACTCCATTTGAAAGAAGAAGCAGCATCCTTTCAATGCAGCTCCGTTTAACAAAAAGCATCTGTAACACCTGCTGAAGCAGACACCTGACAAAAGAGATCATTTCTCTAAACAGATCATCAGGCCAAAAAATCCCAACCACAGGGCACTACTCTGCTTGCATATGGTTAAATAACTTTTGTTTGGGCTTTTTTGGTCAATTCACACACATATGAGAGTTACTTCAAGTTTAAATTACGAGGCAAACACAGAATTGCATTCTCAGCACACTCCTGATCAGTAATTAGCCTTCACAGGACAGGTGATGAGACAACAAACAGACAAAACAAACTGACTATTAGAAACACATTCAATTAAGAGCAAATCTTTATCAATGCTGCAAACAGATTAAAAAAAAAATCAGAAAATGTATTTGCCAACAGCAGAAGCTGGCATACATTTAATGTTTCTTACGTTCTTTGTGAGATCCATTCTGACATATCCTTGGTCTCATAATTTTCCAGCCCATCTTAATTCCCCATGCCAGCCCCTGCCCCAGGTAACTGCATTCTATATACAACTCTTCCCAATCAGTCTTTCCACTCATCTTCCTCCTGTGTCTAACAATGCATTTTGATGCATTTAAAAATTACCTCCCAGCTCTTTAAATCACTCAGATTTATTTTTTTTTTTTTAGTATCTCCCCTTCATGACACTTTCAATTCCCATAATATTTAGGGGGAGGGAGGTAAAATCACTGTTGCCCTCTTGGCTCAGCCTCACAAGCTGTAGTTAACTGCTGACTTCCATTTTCCACAAAAGCTACGTTCAATTCAGGTCACTTCTCAAATCGCAGTTCTAAATACAGATTTCTCAGCCAGCTCTTCCTCTTACTGCCCCAGGTTCTTCAAAACAAAAGCAGTTCCCACCCAAGCCCCATCCCCCACCCCCACCCCCAATTAGCACTATCATTACCTTGACGACACACATCATTTGACTATTGTCATGATAATGCCCAATCCATCCCGCACTAAATGTCCTAGATGACTTACAACTTGATGAAGTTGAAGCAGGGAGGGGTAAGAGGACAGAAAAAGTTCATTTAGTTTCACGTGAGATCGCTATTTAGACGAAAGCCTTAAAACAACTAACATGTCGATAATGACCATACTCGGTTAAGCGACTTCCTGGGTACATCAGTGTATTGCTGCACAGAAAAAAATTGTATATGTGCTCTGAGGATGACAAGTCCATCATATGTAGTCCCCCTCAAACTAAATTTAAAGTGTTTTTCAAAAGAGACGTTCTTTACTTTCCACTGAAAATCTGGAAATCTCTTTGATTTTGTGGGTGGTAGTAAAAAAAATTACTCTTTTGTTGACAACTGTATGGTAGGATGATTAATCACACTCTTTCAATGACTCACTTAGAAACAGTTAAGAAGTGTGAAGTGCTTGGTCGTCCCATCTGTTTAACATAACTGCACGGATGACAACTACTATCCTTATTTATCAAAAGCCATCAAAACTAAGTACTTTAGCACTTAAAATGCTTTAGTTGTTAAAGTTGAAGGGTATTATCTGCATCAAAAATTAGGTACTTTGTCACTAAAATATTTCAGAGTATTGAAAAGTTGAAGGGTATTAACTAAACTGAAATCGAAATCCACTTCTGACTCAGGATTACTCTTCCTTTGCAGAGACAGGACCCATACGCTAACAGTATACATTTTCTAAAATTTTCAACCTAAGATTTAGTCCTTTAGTTAATTCATGGTTACTCTGGCCCATTCTCGGAAGTTAACAATTATTTTTATTTTTCTAATATATACCTTATGATTTCAGGTTTCAGCCCGTTTCTGTGAACTACTACTCCCCCCGTTTAATTAGGTCCTCATCTTCTGAAAGACTACCACCTGATTGCAAGGCGACTGACTACGGCGTTTAGATGAGAAAACCTTCCCTCTGGCTCCAGAGGGCTGTTTAAGCATTTCTGTCACACTGCAGACTCCAGGCAGGATGATCTCACCGACTTAGGGAATCAAAAAAAAAAAAAAATAGAAAAAACAACAAACCAAACAAAACATAAAAATAAAAACCAACCAAACCCAGAAAACCCCACGCACAGAGCCTGGGGAAGGAGGGGAGGAAGAAGAGAGAAACGGATAGTCAGAAAGCAATGAAGGACCACCCCTCGGGACACCCAGCGCGACCCAAGCCCGATGCCTGGGACTGCCCGCCCGGCCCCCCCTCCCTACGCCGGCAGCAGGGCCTGCAGAGGCCAGCGCGCCGGGCCCGCGCTGTGCAGCCCCCAGGCAGGGCAAGGCAGGTGCCCGGCCGTGCCCTCGGTCAGGCCGGGGCTCGGGGGTCTCTGCAGGCTCCGGACACCCCGACTCGGCCCGGCCGCCCCCGCCCGTCGCCGGGGGGAGGGGGCGGAGAGGACGGTGACTGACGGAGCTCCCGCCCAATCACCGGGCCAGCCCGCGGCCGCCGGCCAATGGCGGCAGGGTTCAGAAGCGCGTGCCCTCCCGCCCCGCTGCCCCCGGGGCTCCCGGCCGGGCCCGCCACGGACCGACTCCGACCCGGCCGCACCGCGACCCTCCGGCAACGCCCGCAGCTCCGCCTGCCCCACCTGCGGCGGGCCGCGTCACCCGTTGCGCTAAAACGGGGAAGCGCCCATGCCTGCCGCCCGCCCCGGCTCGGGGGAGCCTGCCGAGAGCGCAGCCGGGGAGACCCGAAAGCCCGTCCCTGCCTGCTGCCGGTGGCGGCGCTGACCGGCCCGGCTCAACCCCGCTACGGGTTCGGCTCCGCTCCCCTCGCCTCCCGGCAGCGGCAGGAGCCGCCTCCGCCGGGACGATACCGACCCCTCGAGTGGACTGGCGGAGCGCGCTCCAGCCCCGATTGCGCTCCGGGTAGCGACTCCAGCCCCAATCGCGGTCCGGGCGGCTCCCGGCGCCGCCGGCGCAGGTTCCGGCCACGGGAGAGGACGGCGCCTGCCGCGAGCCCCGCCCCCCGGCGCACGCGCGCCTGGCCCTTGACGGTCACTCCCGTGAGGAGCGGGATTGTGGATACTCCCGGTTCTCGGGCCTGGTGCTGGTGTAAAGGTCACGCCTCTCCGTTTTCCATGACTCTGCTGCTCCTTCCTTCCTTTCTGTTTACCTTCCTTTTCGCTAAAACTTTCAAAAAAATTAATCGCTTAGTCCCGTCGCAGAGGCTGTTTTGTCTCAAGCCATGATTTTTGCAATTTCGATTTGCAGAGCCTTAGACAGAAGCTTTTCAACACGGGATGCCGAATCTTTCACAAATTTTGCATCTGCTAATCGTGGATGCATTGACGGCACCCACAAACTTGCTCCTCCGAGTTGCGTCTGCTTCCACAACAAGTGGTGGAAGCTGCCAGGCTGTGACAGCAGAGCTTGTTTTACATCTTGCACAAACTCTGTGAATCAGCAAAATGAGAGGATTTTGCGAAAAGGGTGCTTTAACTATGCAAAAGAACCTCATCCCTAGAATATCCAGCTGCTCATACTGCAGTTCAAACTTGCAGAAAGAAACAGGGTTGGGGTATTTGCTGTGCAACTGGTATGGATACAAAGGAAAACTTTCAGTACAAAGGAAAACTTTCAGTAATGAATGATCTGCTAGGAGGGGCTCAGAGGCACTCTCCAGGAAGATACTTTCACTACACATCCAGGATTTTATTGTGGCTGAGAAAAAGAATTTACACAAGTGTTACATTTGAGTTTGGTGTTAGTTTACATTCCTGTTGCCCTATGAGGTGGCTTCCATGAGACAAATTAATGGCTGGGACACAGTCTTAACAATGAGGCCAGACCAGGGACTGCTCCTTCCTGCTCACTGCGTTCAGGAAATGGTACCCTCTTTGTTTTTCATGTTCCTTGCCACAGTATGAATAATTAGTATGTTCTATTATGATTTTCTTTGGCTGGATCAATTAAAATACGTCCTTCTTGAAGATCAATTTTACTTTCTTAATGAAAGTCTGTATCTAAAGTAGTGCCTGGATCCCTTGAAAATTCAGTTTCTTCCCGCAATTGTTTTTGATCCTGGTTTTGAAATCCTTTTGTCCTGCAGTTTGCTTTTGGTAATCATTGTTCCACTGTCAAACTCAGCATCTTCTCTGGTATCAAGCCCACATATGAACTGGTCACCAACAAGAAATTTATTATTTCGATGGGTGAGTGAACCCATATTTCTGTACAGAAACCTTACACTGAATTAGCCTTTTTTCCACTCACCTGTCCTCCAGTGCAGAATTTGGTGTTCATGTCCTGTTCATAGTGATGTTTCACAACAGCACTGTAACTAAGTAAACTATTTGTTCATTTCATGCTGTGTTGTTAATAAAACAAACCAAAAGTGGCTCTTTCTTGGAATATTACTGCACTGTGGTAATGCTTTCCACAGGAAAATATTCTCTTCACAACTATAATAAAAATAGCCTATGGAGGGCAGCAAACTTCAGGCAATTACTAAGTTTTGTAATAAAAGAGAATCTGAGAACCTGGATTTAATTTGATTGTTTAGTCTTTTAAGTTCTTAAGAAAGTAACTTTATTATATTTTATTATTTTATATTATCAAGGCAGGGCTTCCTAATCAGTCTTTTTATACTGATATGTCTTCGTATGTCTAGGTGACACCAAAGTGGTGACATGAAGTTGGTGGGCTTGAGAGGAAGGTGGACAGGCTGGAGAATGGGACATCAGGAACCTCATGGAGTTTAATGAGGACAAATGCAAAGTCTTCTATCTAGGAGTGACCAGCCCTCTGGGACAATACTGACTGGGGGCTTTGCTGATTGTCTCTACTGGAAGGGCTGAGGGATCCTGGTGGCAGTAAACAGGACCAGGAGTGCACCCCGGCAGCCATTAATCTGGAGAAAACGGAGAGGGGATCTTATCAACGTATGTAATAATCAAGAGGATGAGGCCAGGCTCTTCTTGGTGGTGCAGAGCAATAGGACAAGGGGCAACGGCAGAAACTGTAACGCAGGAATTCCACCTGAATGTGAGGAAGTAATTCTTTACTGTGAAGGTGACTGAGCACTGGAACAGGTTGCCCAGAGAAATCGTGGAGTTTCCTTCCCTGGAGTTATTCAGAAGTTGTCTGGACACAATCCTGAATTACATGCTCTAGGGAACCTTCTATTAGCAGGGAGGTTGGACCAGATGACCCACTGTGGTCCCTTCCAAGCTGACCCTTTATGTGATCCTGTGAACGCAGAAAACTGATTATCCAGAAGGGATTGGGAAGTTATTATTTCCCTTTACGTTTGCTTGCACGTGGAATACAATGCCCAGTTTGGGGGGTCTCCAGTAGAATAGTCCTGATATGGAAAATTACTAATAAAGTGGAGTGACTTTTGAGGAGAGCACTAAGATGGTCATCGGCTAGAGCACTTGCCATGTGAGAGAGGCTGTGAGCCCCAGGACTTCTTTAGCTGGAAGAAGGAGCAGCTTGCCAGTACTGAAAAGGAGCTTGCTGGGAAAATAGAGCCGGAATTTTGTCATAGAAGGACAAAAATTTTACACTGAGGATAGTGAAGTCCAGAGAGGCTGTGGAATCTCCTTGCATAGAAGTTTGTGAGACCTGAATAGACAAAGCCTCAAGCTACCTGAATTTAAGAGTAGCCCTGCTCTGAGCAGGATATTGTCCTATATAACATCCACAGATCCCTTCTAACCTGAATATTTCTAGGATTATATGAAATAATATAAAATGATAACATAATATTTAATTTCAGGGTTTATTTCCTCTCAGGTAGGGCTCTTTTCAATAACAAAAGTAACCAAGGATTGTTGAGACAGAATCATAGAATCATTCAGTTTGGGAAAGACCTTTAAGATCATAGAGTCCAACCATTAACCCAGCACTGCCAAGTCCACCACTAAACTACATCTCTCAGTGCCGCATCTGCACGTCTCTTAAATACCTCCAGGGGTGGGGACAACTGATTTGCTGTCAGGAGCATAACACAACCAGGCTGATAGTTATTGTAGGTGGTCCCAAGTCTGGCAAACAGATGTTTCACTGAATGCAAGCACAACTCTCCTATAAAGCACCTGGATCCAAAGAACTGATTTATGTTTGTTAATAACTTGCACTACAGCTAGAATCTAGGATGCTTTGTTAGATCAAGTTGATCAACTTTATAGTAAAATATAGTTAAGTGGAAATTAAAACAAAACAAAACCAAAAACAACAAACATTGCTTTACATAGAAATCTGTTTGTAGAACCAGCACTTTACTTACCCACTTTAGGTAAACTGTGTTCTTAAGTGCTGCCACTATTCAGCTAACTCACTTGTCTGCATATAAACAACTGCAAGGTTTCTAAAAAATACTTGAGTATTTTTTAGAAGTAATGACAGTTTGGTTTTCTTTACATAGAGAAAAGAAAGAAAAAAAAAGCACCACATTATTCTCTTGCCTTCAGCTTTCCCTGTACTAAACAAAAAAATTGAAGATGTAGAGCACTTAGCAGGACTGAACCTTTTTAACTCAATACCAAGCTGGGAACACCTCAGTCACACTGCTAAAGAATGTCCCTGTGGGGGTATGGAAAACTTTTAGCAGGCAGTTAAACTGTTACATAAAAAGTTCTCTGAAAAGCAAAACTGTGTTCAAATTTGGAAAATTAGTAAGTCGAACAAGTGGACATTCTAGTGGCATGGGGATATATGATTGAGTGTTGAAGGCTATCCACTTATAAAGATGAGAAAGCCAAAACGTTAAA